ATCTATTGGAATTATATTAAATAATAAGGCATTACTTTATTTTAAGAGTAAGCATTTATCATATATTTGCACTTAAGATAAAATCCCTAGATCACTTATAGCTATAAGATATGGTTGCGCATAGAGATGGTGATCATGGAACATATCTTGAAAGCTGTGATCTTAAATACAGTTCCAAGTCGTTGGATGTTTCGAGATGGGATATCGAATAAATTCGGAAAAGACTTGCACATAGTATGTATGCTTATTAGATAAGAATGTTGCATTCCATCAACATTAGCGTGTGACACAAATACATATATGTGGGTGCTTGTTAGAGAACAAGTTCACTGAACATGACCGTATGAAAATTCTTAATGAAAGTTTATCATGTCGAATAAGAATTTTCATGTTACAATAGTACATGATTAATCCTTAGACTTGAGGCACGATGGTAACTTTGTGCATATTATATTTTACTTTGATTTATCCTTTTGATTGCTAGCACAATCGTATAAAGGGATATTTTGGGAATTATATTAATATGTATGGAAGTTTGTCAGTGGCCAACAAAGGATTCGACACTTATGAAGATAAGTGAATTTCCTATGTGTTTCATAGTTAGTAATTCAAAGTCCTTGGCCAAGGCGGGATGAATAGAGATTCATAAACGAATTACTAAACTTGAAATGGAATCATAGTTATTAAATCAATTTGGGTTTTGACAAAATCATACCCAAAGATTTAATCGGGAAATTGGATGTCGAAAGGATTTTTTATGTATGGACTTGTAATCGAAATAGGTTTACTCGCTATTCACTTAATACTAGATTCATGCTACTTGCTAGATGTTCCCATGATATGTAGGTTCTTGAATTAAAGAGTTAATTCAAGACAAAAAGTTAATATGAATAACTCAAATTACAAAGAGTTGTAAACCCACTACTAGTATTAATTGTGAACCTAAAAGGTCACACCAATTTTTGAATGAAGGTAAAATTCAAATAGTATTTCTAAAGAGTTAGAATTAATTGACAAATCTAATTTGATTAGATATCAATTAAAGAAATATATTAAGTTAATCAATTAGATTGATTAATTGAATTTTGGATATTAATTTAGTAATTAATAGAATTACTAATTAATAGTTGGAATTTAAAATTGAATTTTAAATTTCAAATCCAAATAATAATAAGATTATTAAATAAGGAAACAGAAGAATGGATTAAAATAATAAAGTCTTGAAAAATGTTTTCAAGAATTATTATTTTATTATTTATCTTTAATATGATTGAAGATTAAATATTAATAAGAATAAATTAATTATGGTGGTTTAGAGTTGTTAACCAATCCACATAATTAATCTTATTTTTATTAAAACAATAATGGTGGTTATAAACCACTCCACATTATTAATTAAAAGTCAATATTTGGTATGATTATTTAAATAAAATTTGATTTTATTTAAAATAAAATATATCAAATATTGATTATTTTATGCTAAAATGTTTAGTATAAATAGGTGCAAAATGTTTGCACATTAATTGCTAAGTTTTGAGCAAAATTCTTCCAAGATAAAATTCATTCAAAGAGTTGAGTGATAATACAAGAAAGTGTTCTTGAAAAAATTTCCTTATAAATATATATTCTATACTTCTTGAAAAACCGAGTAGTTTCTACTAGCGAAGAAACTATAGTCGGAACCAAAGCTCAAAAGGGAGATACGATTAGAGGGAAGACATTTAGATTCCTAAAGTGAGTAACCACAAGAAGTGATCGTTACCAAACCGGGAATTGATTTCCTCATACATCGTCGGTTTTGAAGGAGTTCAAGAACAAAGGTAATTTTTATAAATTACATATCAAATCAAAATTAGTAAAAGTTACTAGATTTTAAATGATGCTTATTTGTTATATCGTTATACTTATGTACAAAATAAGTATTTATAAGATAAATACTTATAAAATTTTAAATTCCGCTGCAAACTATGTTTCGTACAGTATATCGAACCCAACATTAGATCGTGTATAGCTGAGTTGAGTTGATGTCGCCGGAATTAGTCACCGGACGGCCGGCAAGGCGTCGGTCGTGGTGTCCTGCCCCATGCAGCGTGCGCAGCGCCCGACAGCAATCACGCAGACGTCCGTCAGTGCTCGCCCACTCGCGCGACGCGCGAAGGCGCAGCACATGCCGACAGCGCTCGGCAGCGTGTAGACAGTCTGCGTGCTTAGATGTGCGCAGCGCATGCCGACAGTGCTCGGCAATGCACAGCCAGTCAGCGTGCGTACCGGCCCCAGTAGCGCCTAGTGAGAGTAGGCAGCAGCGTCTAGCCAGCCTCGCCGCACGCGTGTACGCCAATCGACCCGACCGTGCCCAGACCCACGCTGGGGAGTCCAGGAGAACTCCAACGTGCCTAGTATCACGTCAACCTTCATATTTGGCCTCGGTCCGCGCCGACAGCACGCCTGAGTGCCAGTGCCATCATTGCCGCCCGGTAGCGCCCGAGTGGCACCAGCCGCGCCAGTGTCGTGCGAGCAGTGTTTGGCCAGCGTGCCTAGCGGCCTGTCCATGGTGCCTAGCAGCGCCCGACGGTGCCCAGACGTGCAAGTGCCGATGCCAGCGCGCTTGGCAGCGTCCAGTCACATGTCCATGTGTCCAGTCACCATCGGTCGTGCCAGCAACACCCGATGGTCGTCAGTCGTGCCCTGCCGGCGCCAGCCGCGCCCGGTAGCGCCCAGGCTGCGCCCAGCTCGCGCGTGCGACCTCACTAGGGCACCAAGATGTCCTGCGCGACCGAGCCGATTAGCCCAAGTCAGCGGCTAACCGCCCGGCCACAACGAGCTGGCGGTCTGGCCAGACAGCGAACCAGCTGGTCTATACCGGTTATCTGAGTATTTCAGTATTTATTGTTCCAGTTCGATTTTATTTTGGAATTTCAGTTAATTTCTGAGCTAAGTCAGTTTAATATAGCAGTGTCAGTTCCAGACTGGATTTAATATCAGTTAAAATAGAACCTTAGACTGTTCTATTTAATCCAGATAAGTTAGCAGTTAGAGTCGAGCATCATAGCATTTATTTGATTATATCTGAGCATAGTACTAAGTTTATTTATATATTTTTATAGTTTGAGCAGTCAGCAGACCAATCAGCACTTACATTTTCAAAACGAGCAGAACATGTGGGGACTCGGACTGGGTATTACATTGAGTATAATTCTGGTATCATGTTCGAGGTATGTATATACAGTATCCGCTTAGGGTAGTGGCCCAGTTCGCCATAAGTCCATCCTAGGTTCTGGTGGTGGCCCTAGTTCGCCTTAATATTCTACTAGAGTGTGCACACGGTTACCGGCCAAGTTATGCCGGAAGATTTCAGTACAGTTCCAGATTTCAGTACAGTTTCAGTTTCAGTACAGTATCAGTTTCAGGTTATATATACTGTCGATCATGATATTGTTATTATTATTGTTGTTTACTTTAGTATGAGTTTCTGCGGAGCATAGTGGTCTTTCTTGCTCACGCCCCCACTCTTCTTTCATTTTCAGATAGCAGGGTCGGGTCGGAGGTGTGAGCTCAGCTTGGTGGTTGTGGTCGTGGACTTGGCCTAGTTTGCCATTCTTGTGGGATTTTATATACTTCAGTCTGTATATATTATTACGCCACGAGTATTTACTTCTGCTTGCTTTTTAGTTATCAGTTTTCGAACTTGCATGCTAGTATTTCAGATTATCAGATTTTACCCGGTCCCCTAGTGTGATTTGGGTCCAGTATTGCATGTTTGTTTGATACTGTGTTTTCTTTATGTCTAACCTAGTAGTTAGACTTAGTTTAAAGAAAACGGATTTTCAGAACATATAAGTTTTCAGTAGCATCCCAAGTTTTGATTTCGCGAAAAATTGACTCTGATACTAGTAAGAAAGCACGGTGTTACACTTGCCTTGACCCCCACCCTTGGGGTGTTCCTTTAAAAAAATTGATAAAGTGTGAAAATTTAATGCGATAAGCCATGTGTAAGCACCCTGTAATTTTTTTTCCCAACGCAAAACTTTCATTAATAACAGACATAATTACAACACACAAAACTGCCAAAGCAGCCAAAGTCGGCAGCCAAATGGTCTAAATGAGAGGACACGTCAAAGGCAACCTAAATACCTAAAAAAACATGACCTGACCAGAAAAAAAAAAAAAAAAAGGAAAAGATGGAAGGGAAAAGTCTAGAAAGGAGAAAAATTTGTAGAGAGAGAAAGAGCAGTTAGATTTTGGGATTAAAATTCCATCATAGTAGTACTACCTTATTACTAACAAATGCTTAGCACTGATTTCATGCCAAAAACTACGGTAGTATATCTAAAACTAGTAACGAAATCTTACCTTATTACTAACAAATGCTTAGCACTGATTTCATGCCAAAAACTACAGTAGTATATCTAAAACTAGTAACGAAATCTCAGCACTGTCGGAGAATTTAAGATCAAAACTACAAAGGAACCACACTAACTTGTAAGCCTGGAGGTGGCTTACCAATTTTGCAACTACTGTTTCAGGAGAATCATGAGAGACCAACACTAAATATGTTGTAACGTACATTGTTGCAAAGAATGCTCAATCAACCTCCAACAGTTAAGGTGGTCACCACAAAATAAAATTATTGTAATGCAATGCCCATGAAAACCAGAAAAATTCGTAAGTTATTACATTTATATGAATATAGCCTACAACGACAATACATAAACAAGCATGTCAAAAAACGAATCACAATCTTCAACTCAGACGATGCTTTGGGTATTCATGAAATTCCAACAATAGCTTACTATAAGTTTTGCTTTCCTCCACCCTTGGGCTTAAATTCATCATCGACAAATACACCTCGTTAAATATATATATATATATATATATATATATATATATATATATACATATATATATATATATATATCTCCCAGCCATAATTTACCCTCAACTTAACTAACGAATATATTAAAACCTTTTCATTATCAGGCAGTCCTCTAATAATTCTCTTGTCAGTCATATGTGCATGAGTTCTTGAGGGATATTGGAACATTGAGTTCCTTTGCATCAAAATTAATGGAGCACACAATCTTCTTATAGAATTTAGGCTTCACCAATTTACCCAAAACATATGCTCTTGATCGAACCCTGAATTCCATATTTAACGGTATAGGCAAATTTGTGATCCCTGTTGGTGTGCTCAAAGCAGCTCCACTTCCATACAGTGGAATCTTGTCGCCAATTATTATTACGGAAACATCTCTGTCGTTCTCTCTCTTTTGGTAGAATTTTTTCATCTGGAACATGTAATTCGGAAAATTTATTCAAGAGCCAAAAAGTAGAGGGTTAATTATAAAATCTAAACTTCAGTATTTGCTTAATTTAAAAAGAAACTCAATTATCTTCAGCTGAAAAAAAAAAAAAAAAAAAAAGATGAAATTTGAATTTCTGCACCTACAATATGTATATTTGTAGGTAAACGCATTTCTCCATATGAAATTAGTTATATTTATAACAAAGATGTTAGTATCACACTAGGTGGTTTTTGTGGCCAAACCTTAAGGTACCCAATCTCAAGGCAAGCCTAATCAAGGAACAGACATTATCTATAAAATTCAAAATAGAATTGCTCATCGATAGACACAGTATGCTGAATTCACAATGCTCGGACCGCATTGGGAATTTGGTACACCAACCTCAATTTTGTGGAAAAGACAACTGAAGGGTTGATCTCAATATCATGATTTAAGTTGGTTCTTATGAATTCAGGGTTTTGTATAGATTGTCAGGACATGGTGACCACACTAAATATAGCAAACAATAATTCTGATAAATGACACTATTGAACTTACATTGCCAGAGCCAATGTTGAGTTGCGAGTAGGAGAGAGCTATGGGCGTAGATGAAACATGAACCCCAAAAAATGTAGCCGTATTTCGGAAATTGAACTTAACAGTGGCATTGATGGATATCATATCAGTTGAAACTCCACTATCATCAGAACCAGCTTGAACCGCAAACCTCTCGAATTTAACACTCTGCCATTGTAACAACATCAAATTATAGACTTTAGCATTTCACAACAATAGAAATCAAGTCAATTGTTTAACTAGCTCACAACAAACAGAAACCAATATCCCTAACACTGGAGACATTTTCATCAAAATCTGATCAACTAACATAGTGGCTAAAGGCAGTGCTTCAAAACACAACCAGCGAAGGTTAACACATATGTATGTAAAAAAAAGCAACCAATAGCACAACCCAAGTTGCAATTGACTGTAAGATCTGAATTGTATGGATAACTAGACAAAGCAGCAGAAAGAGTTGGCCAGAAAATTTTGCTTGTTTCAACATGAAACCCAAAAGTAACGAAAGAATTTAATGTGCTATTAACCATCAAAACTCACCAGCACTCTGATAATGGGTTTCTGGGGTTTACTAGCGCCGTACAGAATCAAAGCAAATAAGGAGAAAAGTGCAAAGAAAGAGACGGCAAATGCCAGAATATAGCATCTGCGGGGCAACCCTTTACGCGACCCATCATCCTCGAGCAGCCCTTCCTCTTCTATCACATCGAACTCTTTCCAGTTATCTTGCCTGCCCTTCATGTGGCCTCGGCCCCCAGATCCGACGTTGTTCGGGTTGATCTTCCTCGATCCGGGCTTGAGAGAGCCCGAGAAGCGGCTGGTTGACGATTCCCTGGAGTGGTGGCCCACGGAAGAATGGGAGTGTGGCGGCGAGCCCGTTGGGCTTCCCATCACCGGCGTTGAGTGGAACGACGCTGTGTTAGTCTTCTCCCCGTCGTGCGAGTCGCGCGAAGGGCTCTGCACGTAGTACACCGGCCGCCGGTTGTGATCCGGCGACGATGGAGCGAAGCTTGTCGCATCCGAGTCCGTCTTTGCGTGCATTTTCGATCTTCTATGTGTTTTGTCGGTGAGGAGCCAGTCTTTCCGATGTTTACAGCCGGAGTACCGAGATTTGGAAAGAGTAAAGTGAGAAATTTCTCTATGTAGAGTAGACGACTAGACGGCGAATGTGAGTTATATAATATATCGATTGATATTTATTCATTAAATCCTTACTTTTATATACCGGAAATGGCAACACATTATTACTTGGTTTTACCAACAGAGGCACACAATATTAATAAAAAAAAAAAGTAATAATAATAATAATATTGTAATAATAACAATAATAATAATAATACAGGCTCACACAGACAGCTGCTTCTGCCGGTGGTAATCATGTATATTATTCTAAAATGTGGTTAAGAGTCATGTATATAATTCATGTATATAAGAGTCATGTATATAATTCTGAAATGTGGTGAGAGTATTGGCTATAATGATTTTGAGATTTTATTTGTCATAATTTTATGTTTTGAATTGATACTTAATAAGGCTTGAGAATCATTTAAATTAAAGAAAGTTATTCCCATAATATTAAATATTTTTCTTTATTAAATCACTCACTATCTATTTCATTCTATATTTTTATTCCATAATTACCATAATACTTTTTTATTTCAAATTTTTCTATCACATATTTTTACATAAATCAATCATATTAATTTATTTCTCAGTCTTTCTCTCCAGTATTACTGCAGATTCCGTGGGGTGGACAATTATAAGCTTGATTACCCAACTTTATTATTTTATTCGTGAACAAAGAAAAATAAATAATTATATATTATTAAAAGTTTTCTTGTAGACAACAATTTTTGCTGGGCACACTATCCTCCCTGCAAACTATTATTTCAATCTATTTCTATTAGTGACACGGAAACAGATACATATAATTGGCCATGATCGAATACTAACTTCTTAAAAAACATGCTAACATATTATAAAGACTGACCCTGACTCTTGTTAATCAAATCGCGAGTCTCGTGAACACAATGACCAGCAATTAGCTTAGTAACATTTTTCGAAGTAGCTATTTGCTTATAAACTAAAATATTGACACATATTTAAATATACAAGTGTTTGTTAATATAAAAATTGAAATAGTAAATAGAATTATAATATAAATTAAAAACTTAAATTTAACATGGTATTAAATTATAAATGTATTTGTTAAACGTTAAAATATATATTTTTAAATATATTTATATTATAATTAATAAAACATAAATATATTATAAACTAAGTTAATGAAAAAACCTATATCATGGTTTTTTTGCAAATAACAATGAGCACATGTGGATGACGATCATTGCTATATTCATTTTCAATTTTCAAAAGTTGATCAACGAAATCACCCCATAGTGTGCAATCAATCTTGTTCCTCCTAAACGTTCATTTAAATAAATTATTAAATTGATATTTAGAAAAAAAGACATATAATAAATAAAATAAAATTGTTATTCTCTAAAAAAGGAAATGTAACATAATTAGTGCTCTTAAAAAGGACCATAAATATCTAATATATTTATGCCTATTCAAAACCTAATTATTTTTTGAGTGAGAGTAATTTAAAAATTATCCAAGTCAAATGAAAAAACTTGAAAATTTGTCACGATCCCAAACATGCGAGTCTGTTTATATATAGGGGGAGTTACTCATTTAGAACATGAAAAAATACAGTTTTATAATTTAATTAAAACAAAAATTATTGTAACTTAAGAAAACAAAAGCTTATAATTTTTTATATACGCCTCTTAAAATAACACTCTTTAATATACGTGTATTGTAATAGTAAATATAATACTATTGTCAAATATTTATACTTTTAATAACACGATATTAACAAGTTAACAAAGTACTATAATAATGCACATACATTTCAATATCAACTATAAATGTCAAACAATTATATTCAAGTCTTAACCTTCTAATACACAGGAACTAAGCACATGGTGTGATAATATGAGATTTCGATAAATTTTTAAATATAATTTTGGGAGATAATGATTAATTTCTCTTCTTTTTTTTTGTAATGCCCCGTTTATTTGTAAAATATTTGAGAATTATTTAAATTAATATTGCTATTATTATTATTATTATTATTATTATTATTATTATTATTATTATTATTATTATTATTATTATTATTATTATTATTATTATTATTATTATTGTTATTGTTGTTGTTGTTGTTATTTATTATTAATATTATTATAGCCATTAAATGCCTAATTGTTTTAAAAGCTTATTAAAGTTAATTATTAAATAAATATTAATGTATGTATTATATATATGTATAATTGTTATCAAATTTAATTTATTTTATAGTAGTACGACCGAACCGAGCTTTTATTTTTAATCGTCGACTACTTCCTCGAAACTTAGTGTTGGCCCAACCTTTAATTATTTTTCTGCCCAAATTTGTATAAATCTCGGCCCAACTTTGTGAGATTTCAGGCCCTCTATATTATTCTTACCGGCCCAATTGAACATTAAGTAAACCGGCTCAAACGAATTACTTTTTCAGCCCGACAGATTTAATTAAACTTCACGCACGCAAAACCCTTGGCCAGATAATTTTTTTGTTTGCCGCTCACATATGAAATCTGCTCTCTCTCTCTCGATCGATCTGCTCGCCAGCATCATCCTCTTGCCCCATCGTACCAGAACAGGGAGGAAATAATGTTCGCCCTCTATCGCGACCTTCTTCCGGCAGAAAGAGCAGCATCCTCGCGATTTCCGTCAGAGGCCACGACGTGATCGCTACTCGTCCCTTGTCCTGACGCGCCTCCCCTTCACGCATGTCCGTCGCTGTTCTCTTGGCCAGCGAGCCCGACAATCTCTTCTGTCCGCGAGTTCTCCACGACCAGCACCTTCTCCGTGAGACTCAGCGACCTCCGGCGAGCCTTCCTCCGCCGTCCGCTGCTCCTCCATGGGCATCTCCTCCGCGCACAGAAGCTGCTAGAGATCTCCTTCGGCGCGCAGGCCCCCTCCCACAGCGACGAGCAGGTCATCCCCGACCGTGTGCAGCGCCTAGAGATTCCTCGCAGCGATCTCCCCCTGCTCGCAATCATCATCGTCCTCGCAAGCAGAAGCAGTCGTTGCCACCATCTCCGACGACCCCTTGCGTCTTCCCGCGAACCAGCAGCATCTCCGCAAGCATCCATTGTGCACCGCTACCCTCCTCTTTTCGGCGAGAACCCTCCATAAGAGCAACCTGTAGCAGCTCCTCCGCGAACCGGTCGCTGAAGTTTTCCGATGAGCCTCCGCGTGAAGCTCCTGTCGGTCCTTGCTTGTGAGTCCCACCGAATTTTAGCATCTGCAGACGTCACCTCTGTTCGCGAGCCATCGAGTCCAGTAGGTCCCTGTTCCCGTACGGTAAGCCCTGACGTGTCCTGCGTGTTGTTTTTCGTGAGCATCTCCCCAGCAGGGCCCTTGTTGCTGTCCCGTTCACCGTGCTCCGTCGACGAGCCAAACGAAGTTGTAGAGCTTTCTCGTTTCGGTCGAGCACCACCAGCAAGTCCCGCTGTCCGTCGGCACCTCCGCGAGCATTTTTCGATGTCCCTAGCGGGCCGGGGCAGCCCCGCAAAACTTCATACACGCGCGCCCAGCGAGCCGAACTCCGTTCCCGTTGTTCGTGCATTGTCGTGCGTCTTCCCTTGATATCCATCATTGTCGGGACCCGTCCATCACTGCCCGGCCCCCGCTGATCACTCGCACAACTTTTAGGTGAGTCTAAGCTTAGCCGTCGAGTCCCGTCGGTGCATTCGTGAAGCCATTTCAGCCCCGTTTTGATTCTTTTATTTGAACGTCTTCCCAAGAACGGTACCTAGGCTTGAACCCCATCTCGTTTTGATTTCGTGATTTGTGATATTGTGTTAAATTGCTTGCTATGTTGCTGATCGTGGGAATTAAGAGTTAAATTCGTGCCTTCGATGTTTTTATTGAGCCATATATTGAGTTTAAATGCGATTTTGGATATCAAAGTGATTGTCGTCACTTTGGTTTATTGTCGAACTGAGTTTCGAGTGGTATCCTTCATGGAAATCCTGGTGTTATAGGTACTTGGAGTTGTCCTTGAGTTATTGGTTTTGGTTTGAGGTCGTTTCGATGTGTATATGCCAAACTATGAATTTTCTAAACCGAGCATGCTGCTGAATTGTAATTAATTCATGATAAATCGTGTAATTGTCGGAATGCCGTAAAATTTTTATGCAATGTCCTGTGATGATTTTCTAAGTCTTGTAAAATTTTCAAGTCGAAACTCCATCTGTAGCTATTTTAATTTATTAAATCGGTTTCTGGTTAGAATCTTGTAAAATTCATTTAAAATCGTACATTAGGAGTTTTGAGCTAAAACTTTGAGGAGTATGTTATTTTGTGGTATTCTGTGTTTTGTTAAAATTTTGGATTAAAATTCGAAGTGTAGCTATATGAACTATTAACTGTCGATTTTGGCACTGTTTTTGCTTTAATTATTTAAAAATGCTCCCAGATGAATTCAGGGTTGAAACTTGGTGAGATTATGTGATTTTGTATGCCTTGTGATGTGGTAAAGTTTCAGGTTGATTGGTTGAGTCTAACTCTGGATTCTAAATTTTGTTTATTTTGGAGTCTTAATGCTCGGTTATCCGTTATTTAGGTTCGAATTGGATTTTAATGATGTTGGCATGATTTATGTGTTTTACCTGAGGTATATGAGTTGTGTCCAGGTCTAGTAGTCGCTCCAAAGTACTTAACTCGGTCAAGGAATCCACGAGTCACTTAGTCGATATGATTTCGGCTAAGTATATGTGCTTTGTGTGTTGTCTTGAATTGGATAGTCAGTTGATAGGCTATTATAATTGTTGTAGGTTCATCGAGCTGAAATTTTGCCATTATTCCTTCAATCCTGTGTTTGGCTATATCTCGGTATCCAGGTGGGTCTTATTTAAATTGTTATGCCGTAAATAATTTATTTGTCGTTGGGTTGGTATGATCACTGCTCGAATGTGAATTTGTGT